TCCCCTTGGGAAATGCAGGAGACTGCAGCCGCCAGTACGAGGGGCCGAGTCATCCTTACAGACCTCCACAAGATTCGCCTTCGCCACAGCAACAGCCGCCCCAGCAGCCGCCGCCGCCACCGGCCCCTCCGCCTGCCCAGGGTGAAGGAATGGGGCCCGTGCCCCGGACTCACCGCCTGATCACCCTGGCTGACCACATCTGTGTGAGTTTGCACTCGGGGCCTCCGTGCAGAGAGAGCACCCCATTTTTTCTCTCGGGGTTTACTCCAGTTCTGGGGCAGGCTGAACATCTCTGGGCACCCTGTAAAATGGAGAATAAGGTGGGCCAGGGTTTTGTTTTTTTTAGATTTTTTTTATCCCGCCTTTCTTATTTTTATAAATAACTCAAGGCGGCGAACATACTTCGTACTCCTTCCTCCTCCTATTTTCCCACAACCACCCTGTGAGGTGGGTTGGGCTGAGAGAGAGGGACCAGCCCAAAGTCACCCAGCCGGCTTTCAGGCCGAAGGCAGGATTAGAAGTCACCGTTTCCTGCTTTCCAGCCTGGGGCCTTCCCCACGAGACCAAGCTGGCTCTCTTCTTTGAAATCTTCGAAGCTCAGCCTTCCTTCTGCCATACCTGCTGGAACGATGGGGTTTAGATCCTAACGGGGAGGGAGGCCGGTTTAGGGTAAAAAGCGGGATCTTTTGCAAATGTGCAGGGGTTCCAAGCCAGTTCGGTTCTGTTGTTCTGACGTTTGGGAAGCGCCCCCCATTTGGAAAGACTCTTGGGTGATTGAAGTATTTGTAAAACCTCCAAGTTGCTTTCCAGACTAAGTGTCTCTTTCCTCACACCCCCTCATAGCAGCAGTGTAACTTTGCCTTAACACAGGGTTTCTCAACCTTGGCCACTTTAAGATGGGTGGACTTCAACTCCCAGAATTCCCCAGCCCGCCCTGCTGGGTGGGGGAATTTCTGGGGGTAAAGTCAACCCCCTTTAAAAGGGCCAGGTTGAGAGAACCCGTGGTTACGGGCAGAGACACTGCTCGCA